AAAAAGATAGGGCGCAAAGTGGCGGTTGAGTAAGATTGTTTTACTAAGTCATGTGCCCCGACATGAAGAAATATTCAAGTCTGGACTTTTGATGTTTTCCTGTGAAACGTGTAGGCTTTACTTAGTGGTAATTGATTTATCCAAGTTTCTTTCCTTTTGTTCGCAACACTTCATACTGATGTCTGAACAAACATGTGATATTCAACGGCATCATTTGCATTTTGTTACCTGTGGCACATGCAGCCATATCCGTCTTAGCTGCTGTAATCACCCTTTGGTCGTAATTCCCTGTCACTATTCGTCAATTTATCAGTTCAGTCTTTTTACAAGTGCCTTGTTAGACAGAAAGAGGCCATTAGTGTTCCAAAAACTTGCCCTTTCACAGAAATATGGCCCCGTATATATCCAACAAACGCACTGCAAATAGAACTCCATGTCAGAAGACAACCCGTACAACCCTGAATATAAATGTGACGTCACCTTTTAGCGAGTGACGCTGTGCACAATCTGGTGCACTACAGCGGGTATTTTCTGTGAAGATGTTTTGTGATTTTCCGCCGGTAGCAGCAAATAGTAAACCATACCAGCGTACTCTGCTTGGTATGCTTTGTCCATTGGAATGCCCACCGAAGTGAAGCATTTCCTTTGAAGTGAATGATACTCACGCGCTTATGGTACCACCGCACACGCTGTCATTGTATCATTTCAGGGGCGTCATCCACATGCGTCCGTCACTGTGACGTTACTCGGGTGACCGAAACACGCTGATCAAAGGCCGAGAGCCTCGGACCTCCGCGCGTCACGATAACCCGTTGGCAGCACTTATCTGTGTCTAAAGATGAAAAGGTGCGGCAGGTCGCCGTATCACACCTTGGTGACTGGTCCATCAGATTGGAATTTACATTCGTCACCTATCGAAATAATCAGGCGGGACTGATAGTATGAAGCACCTAGCGTGGTAAAACACTGCACTTGCACTTGGCCATGGGAAACTTACGAATTTAATTAGCACGATTGCACATTACTCCATTATAGGCATGGAGAAGTACATGGCGCAATCTGAACCAGGCTTTGCACGAAGACATGACAGGGGAATTCTTGTTGTTGAGCACCTGTCACTTAAAACAAGCTATTTTTGACGAGCATGACTACTGCTATCTAGTTTCTGCATAGTCTAAGACACCATCTAAACTCATTTCTATGAATCTGGTCCGCTTTGCCTGCCTGTCCTTTCGGTACGTCATGCAGTAGTGGGAATCTTAGAACTCCTGGCCAACTCATCACAGTCTACACGATGCTCCAGGTTTAGACTGTGCCTCCCATGCTCCGTCTCCGTTCTCGGCGGAGCGAAGACCGGATTCTGTGGAGAAGCCTGGTGAGATGCAGCGCGTTAGGACCGTCTGCCACCAGCTGGCGCCGGTGGTTCGGCCGACAGCGGCGCGCAGAGGCCGCACAGCCCGCCTCCTCCCCGGTGTCCCCCCCCGCCCGCCTCCTCCCCGGTGTCCCGCCCCCGCCCGCCTCCCCGGTGTCCCGGCCTCACCCGCCTCCTCCCCGGTGTCCCCCCCGCCCGCCTCCTCCCCGGTGTCCCGGCCCCGCCCGCCTCCTCCTGGTGTCCCGGCCCCGCCGCCTCCTCCCCGGTGTCCCCCCCCGCCCGCCTCCTCCCCGGTGTCCCGCCCCGCCCGCCTCCTCCCCGGTGTCCCGCCTCCCGCCTCCTCCCCGGTGTCCCGGCCTCACCCGCCTCCTCCCCGGTGTCCCAGCCCTGCCCGCCCCCTCCCCGGTGTCCCGGTCCTACCCGCCTCCTCCCCGGTGTCCTAGCCCTACCCGCCTCCTCCCCGGTATTCCGGCCGTGCCCGCCTCCTCCCCGGTGTCCCGGCCTTGCCCGCCTCCTCCCCGGTGTCCCAGCCCTACCCGCCTTCTCCCCGGTGTTCCGGCCGTGCCCGCCTCCTCCTCGGTGTCCCGGTATACCGGGACGCCAGGGGGTCTACTTCAGCAGCCACCAGCAAGAAGCTGATGCAGAATTCTGTCCTCAGGGGCAATACACGCCAAGCACGTCACGGGTGGTACATCGAATGCGTCATGAACGCTGTTTAAAGGTGGTCATGGCGTGCTTCACGCTTCAGCTTCACAGCGTGACAGCGGCGGTGTTGCCGGCTACAGCGTCAAATGTGGAGCATTACCACGTTTTCCTGGCCGTCCTGACCGCAAAACGAGGTCTCGTTTAGTGAACACTAACGCGTGACTTGTGCCTGCAGCAATAACTGAATTCTACCTCGACGTTTGCTGATGGCCAAGCTGGACAGCTTGGCTTTCGAACCAGCTGTGGAACCGACATGGCACTGGTTGGTGCAATAGTAAATTCAGACCGAAAGCGAAGGCTCCCCTCAATTACGGACCGTGATTTGAAAAAAACTGCCAATATTAACTTGAAGCAAACCTTGTGACTTGGATGCGGCCACGAAATCATTAATACGAGCAAGAGCTAGGGTCAATTCAAGCTCGAGCCATCCAGCCAGCCAGTAGCGCGCGCTACCGCTGAAGAGTCGGGCGTGTTCTGCCACAGTGGCGCCTGGCACAGTAACGATGGGAAAGACGTGGCATGGGCGGCAACTGACGACAGCGTCGAGTTTAATGTACCGGACGAGAGCAGGAGTCTTATCCTGCCGCTTATCGTGCATCACAGACACCGCCAGTGGAATTTACTCTTGGTTTGTCCTGCAGCGGCTGCCGCGTTCCCATGATTCTGATGCAATACTGCAACAATATCAGATAAAAGTCGTGCATCGCTATTCACCGCGCCCAGAGGGATTACACGGAGACAAACACTTGATCTTAAAGTGCAGGGGCTCGATATGCGCAGTCTGATCAGAACGCTCAAAGGTGACGGGTTTCGACGAGTAAGTGCCAGCCGTGAATACAGACAGTAAGTACCACCTGGCTGAAAGGTCGAAGCGAAGCCTATTCGTTAGACGAACATTGGCCTACCGACTTGGCGAAGTCAGGTCATTGATCCAGGCTTTGATTAGCAAGAAATATGATTTCAAAGCAATCCTTGCTAAAGTCTGTTATCAGATTTTAGGCCGGTGCACTGCCAAAAATATTTGGCTACCCATCCCTAATGACTATCCATTGTCAACCAATTTATATAATTCTTAAGCCCCGACGACCTTCGTGAATGAGGATCACACGTTTACCACCAACACACGACGAGTTGAGTATGGCTCGCTGCAAAATGCCACGTGCTCTCCGTATTGCCACTTCTCAGCTAGCGCCGCACAGCGGTCACGTGGTGGTTATGTAAGAGTCGTGACTCGGCGCTGGACTTTTTCCAAGCAGTGTGGTCTCTTCATCGCGTGCGTGCGGCCACCATCATCGCTGAGGTGGCGTCGCTGCAGGCTGGGTGTGTGACGCCGGCAGGATTTCGGTGAGCTTCTTTTGAAGATGGCAATTTATGCCCGTTGATTGTTTCAGTAGTTATAAACAAAGCGTTCTAGGACACTGCACCATGTTAAATGACACTAAAATAATCGTTGAACGTTCTGACGTTAACTAAATTCGGCATCAGTGAAGGCAGCATTGAATCAAGATACACCGGTTGCGTGACATTCCACAAGAACTAGTGGCGTCAAAAAGTCCTGACCTCTTAAGTTCACCCTTTTATGATTCAAATGGCGGGGGGGAAACTCCACTTAAAAATCCGTGATCGCGACGGTAGCTTCTTGGTTATATGAAGCCTCAGTCATCTCAATCTAAACTGTCCTTGAAGAACGACCTTGAGGTCAGGATTTTTTTAGAACGATAGTTTATGCGCTGGTCAACATTCTGATGCTCAAAATCTGAAATGCGCTCGGTGACTCTTGGATGGTATGGAGTTTCCGTTCTTTAAGCCTAAATTCTGCCTTAAGGATGACTGTGAGAGGTCAGGACCTATGAAAGCCTCTAGTTTATACACTGAAGAAAATTCCGATGCTTGAAATACGAAATTGGCCTATAACTGGGGTGATGCAGTGCCCTGTATTTGGCCTTGAGGAATAACTTTCAGAAGCTAGAGCGTCTTGGTAGATGCTAGTCCATGTGCCCGAAAACGGTTCTGGTGCTTAAGAGCCCGAAGCTGGCCGGAAACTATCGGGTAACGCGATTGTCCTCGTCATTTGACATTGAAGTTACCCTTGCAGGGTCAGGGCTTGTTAACGAACGCTAGTTCATGCGATGGTGAATATTCCGACGCTTAGAATGCCGAAAGCGGGCGGTAATTCTTAGATGATATGGAGTTTCCAATAGTTTTGGTCTAAGTTCGACTTGAGGGGCGATGTTAAAGGTCAGGATTTCTTTAAACAACCCGATTCCATGCACTGGTGGATATTCTGATGCTTAAAACCTGAAATAGGCCGGTAACTTTTAGGTTATGTTGAGTTCCCCGTCATCCGACCTTGGAGGTCCCGTGGCATCGTAAAACAAGACGTCAAATTCGGTGTCCTGGTGCCATAATTGACCCATCTACCACGGTTTCGTCGAAATTGTAATTCGCCGCACCATACACCGCCAAATAAACCGATACGGATATGTAATATCACGGACATTGCATAAAAATGTAAATCTTGCGGTTGAAAAATTGTCAACCCTTGAAAAATCCACTACTTGAAATTAAATATGATGCGAATGTTCAAGTAATAACAAAACAGCCCTTTCGAAACCTGTCCCGTCCAGTGCAGGCCAAAGAGTCGCAGTGTAAGCGCATCTAAATGAATGCCTAGTGGGTCCTCACTGCACATCCACGGACTTCTGTGGGCCCACGCCGGTATCCAACCAAGAGAATCGCGATAAATACTCGGTATATTTTACACTGCGGAAAGGCGGCACGTCCGCTCGGCCGGCCGGCACCATCCGCCGGCGACACGCGCTCACAGTCACTCGATCACGGACCGGCAGACGGGCCTCCTGCCGACGAGCGCTCGCACGAGTTGACCACAGACTGTACGGCGGCCGCTGGTCCGAGGACGCCCGGAGCGCCAGAGCACGCGGCGCGCCCCGGCAACAGGGACGGGACGGACACCGGGGCCAGCCGCCACCGCCGCCGTTCACTCGGCGCGGTCACAAGCGCCTCTCTACGACTGGGACTAGAAACAAACCATCTCACCGCTGCCACGGACACTGGGTCGCTTGTTTTCAATCAGGATTAACAAGATCATGCCATCCAGTAAATTGAAAATGCATGTCACGTTTGCGACAGTGACCACTCTTCGTCGACGCACACCGTCCCTGGCAGTCCATTTCTACGGGAAGGCAGGTGTTTCGAAATGGCGAATTGAGAACAGCCTTTACGGTATGAACGGCGACCCGGCAAATATTGCAGAAAAGAATGTACGACTACCAGATATAAGCTTATGTGTTCATGGTAGCAATATCTTTTTATGCAAAAATCAGCTTTCTTCCGCACTACATATTGCATCAACCAACTAATTGCCATCATCACCAATACTGTCTGTGGTCTGATTATCACATGATCTTCACGGACAAAAAAAAAGGATTTCGGTATTCTTGGTAACTGGTTACCTATGTCTACGAATATCGCAATCTTCTTAATTGGGGTGTTCAGAGGCGCCGATGGTGATCAACTCCCATAACTGAATGCAAGCGGAATAAATACTCCAGACACCTGGCTCCACACCATACTTGGAACTTAGCCTTCCTTGTGCCGCACCACCGGCTGACCCCCGGCATTCTTCCACAGAACACAGCACGCCGCTTTGCCTGCAGCGCGACCTCACATGGAATGCAGCCCGGCTGACCCGGCCTCGCAGCGCGGCGCCCGCTCCAGTCCGGACACCGGAGGCGGCGCCCGGCTCCGACGGTGGCGCCGCACACCGGCGCGGCCCGGCACTAGCCGGCCAGCGCGCCGCTTCGCTCACAGCTCCCGTCGTCGGCAGAAGAGGGCGGCTCGGGCGCCGGTCCGCCGGCCCGCCCTCTCTCCCTCTCTCGTCAGGTCCGCGGCGGGTGCGGCGCGTCACGTCTCGCCTCCGTCCTCCGCCTCCGCCTCCGACGACAGCTGGATGATGGCCATCTTGACGGCCTTGGTGGCGTCGCCGGCGCGCGGGATATAGAACCTGCGCACGGTGAGCACGGGCCGCGGTCGGTCGGCGGTCGGCACCGGCCCCCAGGCACCGCACACCAGGCGAGCGGACGGCCAACCATCGGAGCGGCACACCGTTATCACACACGGCGGCGGGCGCGATCAGCCAGCAGAGGATCACTGCTCAACTGACACCATACACTTCAGCCTAAAAAAAAATGGCTAGCGGAATTAATGAGATATTTCGAACGGCAAATTGCGCTTGGTGGCATTGCTGCTTCTCCAAACAGTGTCCACGTAATTATTCGGCACGGTGTTCTACGTATGCGTACTCCCAATCCTGCGTGACGCACGCCGGCTTGAGATGAACATACCATGGCTGTTCTGAGCACCGGTACAACACGCGCGTCATAGCAGCCGCACATGCAAGAGCAGACCACACTAACGTTGCAAAGCCGCGGCATCGAGTGTTCGAAACACACTCGTAACCTCAGCCGCTGCGGAGGCTTGCCTACCTGTCCAGGTCCGTGACGGTCATGCTGTCGCCCTCGTTGACGCCGTACTTGAAGGTGATGAGTTCCGGCCGCTTCTTCTTGCTGGTGATGGTGACGACGGACGTGAGCGAGCGCTTGACGGCCAGGTGCGCCCAGCCGGGCTTGCCGGCGATCTCTCGCAGCACCAGCAGCTGGGTGGGCGTCACCAGCAGCAGGCTGCGGCACAGGCGACGCTCGGACGTGGGCAGCGCACCGATCCACTGACCGCCGACCCGCCGACGCGCCGACCCGGCGAGGACAGCGGCCACCGAGCACGCCGCATCGCCACTGACGCGGTTAAACATCACACAGCGAGCATCCTAACTTTGATCTAAAATCGCCGCCGACATACCACACGCTCGCAGCCACGCCGTCGGCGTCCGCCAGCGCCTGCCGCCACGCTCCGGCAGCCCGCCCCAGCGAGACGCAGCGCCCGCCGGGGTCGTACCTCGGGTGCGCCAGGCGGCTGTCCTTGATGTGCTGGCATTTGAACTGGTGCAGCACCTCGGGCTTCTGGAGCCAGTCAGCCACCTCCACCAGCTCCATGGTGGACTCGTCAGCGATTTCGACCTCCTCCAGCTCGTCTGCGGACGGCACGGCGCGCCGTCAGCTCCCGCACGGGCGGGACAGAACAGTCAGTGCCAGGTCAGACTGGTGCAGGCCTACACAGCACCTACACAGCACCTGTGAAAGATGACAGTCGTACCGACACCGACAGCAAAGGCAAAGCACAGCCTCCCCCCCCCCCCCCCCCCCATACTGGGCGCAGAGGTACAAGGCGATAAACGACGAGGCCTGATAAATTCACAGTGAACACGTCAACAATAGTTTCAGAGTAAACATGTCAACCCTCTTGACCTTCTCGGTTTTCACGTCATAATGCCGGTCGAACGTCGTTACACACCGTACAACTTGCACATTTCGAGTCGCCGCCCGCCTCGCCAACGAGAAGCAGCCCAGCAGCTGCGTGGCCGGCACGCCCGGCCTCTGTCGGCCGTCGGTACAGGGCTCCGGACCGACAGCCCACACGGCCGGCCGCCCCCGCGGGCCGGCGACACCTCCACGCACCGCCGTCTTGCTCGTCGTCCAGCGAGAACACGGGCGCTAGGTTGCGGTAGCGTTTGCCCTTGTCCTGGCTGCTGACGTGCCGCTCAGGCTGCTCGGCCGACGCGTTCGTGATGATGTCCACCAGCTTTTCCTTCACCTGTGGCACGCGACCAGCGTCAGCCGGTCGGGCGGCCCACCGGCCCGGACGGCAAGCTCACACCCAGCCGAACACGTCCCATTCGACGCCCCCCTCTCCCCAGAGAACGTCCGGTCTCTGACGACTTGGACCGGGATGGCAGCAGCAAAAGCGTATCTGGCCGGCAACACGCGCGCCAGTAAACAGCCCGACCAGCAGCCCCACGCGCTCACCTGTTGGCCCTTGACCTTCCAGCGGGCGCCGAGCCGGTCGAGGAGGGAGGTCTTGTTTGCGGCGGCGGCGGCAGTGGCATCGGAGGCCGGCCGGCCGCCATCCGAGCCGGCCGCCGCCTCGTCCGGTGTGCAGACGACGCACTGTCGCGCGGAGTGGTCGGCCAGCGCCGACAGGTTCTCCGACAGCATGTCGTGCACCGCCTGTCGGCGCACCGGCGCGGCGTCAGGAGCGTCACAAGGAGGGCGGCCGGGCGGCAGCGCGTGGCTAGACCGGCTGGTGAGACCGGGACGTCTCCAGGAGCGTGCCAGGCGGCGAATCGCACGAGAGGCGCAAGGGAGGCTTCTGAATTCTGCCAGGTGGTTGGCTGGATTGAGAAGCCGCAAAGGCAGCTTATCAATCCAGCCAGCAACAGACTTCTCAATCCAGCCAGTAACAGATTTCTCAATCCATCCAGCAACAGACGCTTAGCCACCAGCCCGCGGCGACGTATGCGGCAAACTGTCGACCAATACTGAGACGGGTGGACGAAAAAAAAAAAACAGAACAGAAATACTGCGAGTGCATCGGGTAAATACTGACAACAGTGACTTTTGTTACCTGATAGCCTCCTTCCACTTTGCTGACGTAAAGCGAACGCTTCTGAAGAAAAGAAGCCACCACCATGTGCAAAAACTGATCCTCTTTTTCTCGACCTGCGACAACAGGAAACACTCACTGGTGTTGGGTCCGAATTAACCATAAAACAATAACGATAAAGCACAGGTATTATCAACAGTAAACATGTCAGGCACTGAGGTTAGGCAAAATGTAGTTTTGACATCAACTTCTGCACCAAACATGGAGATTGCACCAATCTCAGTTGTTCGTTCGTTGGTGGCCATCTTAGCACCATCCATAACCTGCAATATTGGGTTTAGAAACTTGATCTGATCATTTTACCACATTCGTTAAAAAGAAAAACAAAACGATGCCAATTCTATCTCCGATTTATAGCACATAACACAATATTGACTGCGGGGGCTCGCGTGCACAGCGTCCAGCGTGATCCGCCCAGTCCTCGGCTTTGAGCCCACCGTTCGCCCACAGTGCCTGATCCAGACACCAAACCGGCAGTTTAACCTTCTCTTGGGTCGGCTGGCCGTACTTCCCTCGTTGTCCATGTGCTCTGACCTGACCCATCCCATTCGGTAGTCGGTCCTCCCTGCCCCGCACCCTGGCCCTCCCTGGACGGCGGCAGGCCTCCATGCACGGTACTCAGACCCTGTCTGTTCTGCAGCCTAACCCTACCTTTTCCGGCAGTCTGACTATGTCCCGAGGGTATGAGGGTCTGACAGTCTGAGAGTCTGAGGGTGTAAGGGTCTGAGGGTCTAAGGGTCTGGGGGTCTCAGGGTCCGAGAGTCTGACGGTTTGAGGGTCTGAGGGTTCGAGGGTCTGAGGGTCCGAGGGTGTGAGGGTGTAAGGGTCTAAGGGTGTAAGGGTCTAAGGGTCTACGGGTCTGAGGGTCTGAGGATCGGACGGTCTGAGGGCCTGAGGGTTGGACGGTCCGACTGCCTGTTCGGCAGCCACACCCTTCCTGTTCGCCGGTACGATTCCCTGTCCTGCGCCCTCCACGCCGATGTGCTGACCACCCCTCTCCGTCCGAGGGGCCGGTCTGACCCCTGCCGGCCGGTCCGCGCCCGGTCCGCCGGCTCTGCCACCGACCTGAGCCGATGAAGCAGAGGTGCTCGCCGGCGGCCGAGGGCCGGGCGGCCGTGGCCTGCTGCTGGGCGCTCAGCAGCGCCGCCACGGCCGTGCCGAACGCCGCCGGCTCGCTCAGCATCAGCGTGCAGTCCAGGTGGAACGCCGTGGACAGGTGGCCGGCGTTGTACTGGTCGGCCGGCCGGCAGTCCACCAGGAAAAACTTCACCTGCCGGCGATCGGCGCGGCCGTCAGCGGGACGGCTGCCACGCCGGCACGTGCTGACTCTGGGACCGCCGCCCACTGCTGATATCGTTCTGAGTGATCAGTGCAGGCATTACCTTACTTTGGGGAAAGTGAGATTTGCGGACGGCTCAGCAGAAGGAGTCCAGTCCAGATGAGACGGATGCGATCTTGCCCCCCAGCTCACGTAGACGTTTGCCTACTGATAAGCGTCGGAACATGGTCGGTCTCGTTGAGACATGCCTATCCGCAGCCACCTCCCAAGCCTATGCTCCCATCACTCCAGAGCCGATGAGCGCCCTGCAGCCTCTCGCCCCAGCTGCGAGCGGGCGCCGAGGGCGCGGGCGCGGGCGCGGGCACGCGGCCGGTACCGTGTCGGTGTCGGGCAGACCCTCCGGCGCGTCGCGACTGTCCATGCTGGAGAGGATCTCGTCCACGTAGACGGGCAGGCAGAGCGACTGGGCCAGCGGCACCGTCGGCGTCAGCAGCGACGACAAGTGGGGCGCGCACACGCCGAACAGCGACGGATACAGCTTCTGCGGACGGCGCGGACGGTCAGCTGGCCGGGCGCGGCCCGAGCTGAGGCAGCCCCCGTGGTCAGCACAGCGGCTCGGCTCACAGCAAACACGCAAACACATGTCGTGTAACCCACGCAGCGCGGCTACCGAGTGGCAGTGCGGCTTCCGCAGTGTGTGTGGGCGGGGGGGGGGGGGGGGGGCGAGGGGAGTGTACAGGAATGGGTATAAGTCAGCAGTTGGCACAGTGGGTCAGCGCACCTCACAGCGTATAGACGAAGACCCGGCGCCACCACCGGCAGCACACGCGCCTCCGGCTATGCCCTACCTCGTGTCAGCGTCTGTCGTGTCTGCTCCCAGCTGAAGACCAACCCCAAGCACTATTCGATATTACCATACACAGTCCGCCCATCCCTCGTGTACCGGAGCCGCACCCCTCCGTCCTGGGCCCGGGTCCCCGTTCCGCGCTGCTGCTCTCGTGGCGTCCAACCCTCGTGTACCGGAGTCGCACCCCTCCGCCCCCGGCCCGGGTCCCCGTTCTGCACTAGTGCTCTCGTGGCGTCCACCCCCTCGTGGACCGGAGTCGCACCCCTCCGTCCCGGGCCCGGGCCCCCGTTCCGCCCTGCTGCTCTCCGGATACGCACTCTCCGGAACGATTTGGGCGTCCTCATGGAGTAGAAGTTGGCGAGCTCGCAGAAGTCTGGCACGTCCTCGGCCTGGATGAAGCAGGGCAGCGAGGAGACGGTGGAGACCACCTGCGCGCGCGGCTTGCCCTTCAGCTCCAGGATCTGCTCCCTGGCCGAGTGCAAGGTCACCAGCGGTCACGGTCCGGCCGCCGCCGCCGCCGCCAGCCGTCGCGCGCACCGCCCCGCTCCCCCCCCCCCCCCCCCCACACACACAGCTCAGCCACGCCTGGACCGGACGTGTTTCCGACACGCCACAATCGCAGACAGTTGCTGGCGTACGGTCGGAGGTCCCGGCCTTCCTTTTGAAAGAAATGAGCTTCCTTTGAGCACATTCCTACGGTGTTCTTGTAAACATACAACCAGTGACATGGCTTGAGTGCGTGTGGCCATACACCAAGGATGCACTCCTCCCCCACGAACATCTCAACAAACATCTGAAGTACGCAGCGTTACTCGACATAACATAAAACTCCTCTTTTTATACATGCTGGGACTGTAAGATGAAATCCCGGTGTTCTATGTACAGGTGCGATCAGAACGCTACCAAAACATATCACCGCTGCATCGGCAAATGCTGGTTATAACTTACTTCGCGTTGACGAGGATGACCAAACTGAGAAAGAAGATGAGGAATGGGTCGTCCATTTGAAAGTAGATGTCCCACATGACACGAAGCGCCTTCAGGTCACAGGTGGCCGCAAAAAGGCTGTTGAACTGCGGGCGGAAGGGGGGACGGCAACTCACGTCAACATCCGCACTAACTGGTATGCTGCTCTGGCAGGGGGTGGCTCCAGCCACCGCAAAGGCCCACTGCGGGGCTAGTGGGCAAGGGGAATGACACAATAGAACAGACGTCATATATCACGCTCAATTTTACTCAATAGCTTCTCTAACTTTGAAGAAACTTCCCGGGTACACATCAAAACCTCCAAAGACATCCGATTCTTGATTTGCGCAGCAGATTCTGACGTCCCCAGGCACGTACCAAAAATTGTGGCGGCACTTAACAGACAAGAGCACGCCGAAGACGACTGTGTGCGGCATTACGGGAAAATCGCGACGACGTTGTGCTACATCGAGCAACGTCAAAACCATTCGTAACCACAAATTCTGGCCCAACATATGTGCATCGAATGGCCACGTGCTACGCTGCGTCCGCCTGATATCACTGGAGCAGTGGAGCCCCAGCGGGGGCACCGGTGCCCTCGGGCCATTTTCGGTGACCGTCGGCTAACTTACCCAGGCCGTGGTGTATGTATCGGGGGCGACCTTGATCGTATCCAGGAAGTTACACAACTCCGGCTCATGGTACAGCAGCAGCAGCCGAAGCAGGTGATATGGATCTCCGTCCTTCTTGCAGTTTCTGACATCAAGCCATCCAAGATTGTTACCCACTGTTCCTAGTCCGACGAGCACCTTTCTCATTCCCCGCCAACAGAGCAGCGGACGGAGCGGGGGCCAGAATCACGGCACCATGAAGCAACCGCTCATCTGGGACTACCATCATGCATGCGTGCATACGTCATCAGCATAAAAAGCAAGCATATACAATCCCGTATCAAATGCTTTTCCTTTAGTCGCATGGTACACATAATTTGAATATGTCAAAGAAAAAAGCCATAGCTCCATGTTGTTCAAAGTCTCCCAATGACAAAGAGACACCACAGCTACTGGCTCACTTGGGTATGTATCGCTGCAGGATGTTGGTGAATGTGAAGTAGAGCTCTGGCTTGTTGAGCTTAAGCGGCACCAACGGCTGTAGCAGGTCCATCCAGCCGTTGCCGCGCCGGTAGGTGTCCCGCTGTGACTTGCAGTAGTGGGTGAGCACCGACTCCACGTCCGACATTACCGAGACCCGGTCACCCTCGTCGTTCCCCAGCCGCTCTGCCGACGGCCGGTCAGAGGTCAGAGGCAAGCGGCGAGCGGTCGGCGATCAGAGGTCAGCGATCAGACGTCGGCGGTCCGGGGTCGGCGGTCAGAGGTCACCGGAAACAGGTCAGCGATCAGCTAGTCAGCGGCCAGAGGTCAGCGGTCACAGGTCAGTTGGTCAGAGGTCAGCAGTCAGCAGTCAGAGGTTGGCAGACATGGGTCAGCAGTCAGCGGTCGGCCGGTTTGGAACGAGATAATGCCTGTTGGGCTATGATGGGCTTCCGTCGCGACACAGGGCTCCGTCCAGCCCAGGTAAGACCTACTTTGGCACCTTTGGCACGCCCAATTTAGGTCAAATGCTCCTACCCAGCCGGAAGTTGTCACGCGTGTACAAAAACAATGCAACAGGCTACAGGCTACAGCGGTCTGAGATGGGACTAAGACGCCGTGTACGTCTGAGATGCAACTTCGTCGACAAAGGCAAATGTAACGAACTCTGGCCGGTATGTCGCAAAAAGACGTAACCAATAATTCTGAACCTGAATAACCAATGCATTTCTGATTGCTCAGTCTAACCATTGTCAGGATCGCCACATTAAACATATATATTTGGGCTTAAGCATGACTTTTTCCATTTCATATCCGTCTTCGCGGAATCAATGTAAATACACCGGTACGCACACAACGCCGTTTAAATTGCTGAACAATGCAAACATAAATACCAAATTAAAGACTTCATCATCGCCAAGTGCATGGATTAAACTGAATTCGATTTGCGACAAAAAGCAGTATCAGCGCAAGCTGAGGCTGACCCGGGCTGAGGACTTCAACCACCTCACGTTCACGCCGAGGTGCGTGACGCATTCCATCTTTGTGTCAAAGAGAGCCTTGGCAGCCTTACCGACCAGCTGCTGGATGTCCTCGCGCATCTCGGTCTGTTCGGGCAGGTCGTATATGTTGGTGAAGGTCATGAGACCGTCGTCGACGTCCTGCTGTATGTCGAGGCAGGCCAGCCAGGCGGAGCCGCGCAGCTCGTCCGGCAGCGGCCGGCACTTGGCGATGCTGCGCACGTCCACGCCCTCCGGCACGCTCATCAGCGCCGCCTCCAGCTCCAGCGTCCTGCAGCACACATAGGTCACACCTGTCTCAAGCATCCTGCAGCACCCAGGGACTGAGGTCACACCTGGATCCAGCATCTCACAGGTCAAAGAGTAGTGACTGCTTATTGAGATAGCCATCCTGGTACTGATGTCCAATCCCCGGATCATGGGATGTTTAGCCATGGCTATCTTAAGTCAGCATCAGTTGGGATAAATGGTATGAACTCCTGCTTCTGTTCACATTGAACAATACTGGTAAATATCTGGGGTCATTCTGCATAACCATTCCATACATCATGTGATGTGCAACATGGGGCATCATGTGACATATGACATGTGACATCATGTGACATGTGACAGGACACACACAAACAAAACAAGGTTTTGCTTTGTGCTTCCTTCCTTGACTTTCTTTTATAACTCTGTGGTGATTTGGATGTTGATAAGGCATATGACAAGAATGCAAGCAAATTGTTTCACCAACAACCATTACAGACTGTCCAGTTTTACAGATTTATTTATTGGTAAGCTGATGTTTGTGGATGCAAATAGCACTGCCCAGCTATGGGGTTTGCATGTGATAAAAGTTCCCCTCCCCATCCTGAGGTCCACTGTGTGGCAATGGTTTGGCCCACCTCTATCATGTTATGCTGAGAATAGCATAGCTTTAAAAAACAAAACCAGTTTACCAACATATTTTTGAAACTAAAGTTGGGTTATCACTAGACCATCTGCAGTGCTCCTCCTTTTTTCTACACTTAGTCACAATTACATTCATTTAGATGACATTTATTTAGATGATTACTGCCATTTAGATGACACATAATTACTAACTGCTGTGCTTACAGTGCATGCAGCATCATGGCTCACTTCAAACAGATGTCTGCTTTGTTTTTGCCATGGTTAATGACTGGGAATGAGGGTGGAAGCAGCCTGTGGTGCTTGATGTAGTTTGAAATACTGAGAGGGCTTGCTGGTATCTGGTTCCTGCTCTGCCAGTACTTGCAAACTGGCTGTAGGCAGTGACCACTAGCACAATGTTTTTGGTGTTTGCAGATGAATTGATTTGTAGCAAGCCATTTTATGAAAGCTGTCAGAAAACTTGGGCCCAGAACAGGGTATAATACAGAATTCTGGGATCCAATCTGAATCATGAGGCTATCTGTCAAAAAACCTGGGACCAGAACAATGTATAATCCAGAATTCTGGGATCAAGTCTAAATCATGAGGCTAACATCTGCAATGCAGTATCCTAACACCCAGGAAACAGTGGTCTCATCTGGATCCAGCAATCTCCTCACTGGGAGCTGTCACATGCAAACCTGGCATTTTGAAACATGGGAAGGATAGTACATTCCAGATCCTACATCTCCTACATGGGGAGGTCCATACTCCATGCTAGCCACCTATAATATGGAACAATAAAAATCCTGATCCACCACACTGGTACTGGGAGCAGTAGTAGGATCTGACCCCCAGCATCCTGCAATTCAGGTACAGACTATTAAATCAATTTCCAACCCTAGTATTCCACATAGACCAGAAAGTGTATCACACTCTCATGGCCCCAAAATGCATAGAAGTAGTACCATAATGCTAAAATATGTCCAACAACATTGGGAGCAGCCATATTCACTCCTGTATTCTGTAACAGAGGGCCTAGTGACCACATTCAGTTCCAATTTACTGCAAAACCAGCTATGACAGTCACATATCTTGTGACACAGGAGAAATTATCAGATCTAGTATTAATTTCCTGCAACAAAGGGACCCAAAATGCCTGCTGTTCCAGCATCGCCAAATGCATGAAACCCATCCCGCTCCAACATCTGCTACCAAAAAGCAAGGCCGTGCCTGTTCTCAGTGATGTGATGACCCTACATAAGCATTTAGTTTCAATTCTACATCTGCAGTTGTGTGGAATTATACATCTAAAATGGGTCCACAATTAACAAGGAGCATTATTATGATGACTTGTCATCTGCTGAGCATTTCAACAACAGCAGTGCAAAAGCAAAGCAGCAAACAAAACACATGCTTTATTTGCTGGTGAAAAACAACCTATCAGTACATGCATGGTGAGTTCTGCACATTAGACCACAACCACATTACCCTTAAGAAAAAACAAGCAGATAATGATTTATGCCTTTAAATCAAACATATATGTATATATAGGCTTCCTTTGACCTGGATTCAGTGGAAATGGTGATGAGACGAACGTAACGCACAACTTCTTACGGTTATACACATGCCATATCCAAATAACTCAGCACTCGCTGGCACAGCTTTCTTTATTGTGTTCATATTTATACTAAACAACAAACGAAATACCGGACGGCATATAAACATGCTTACCATGATGTATCGTCACTGGCAGCGTCACCATCCGACGCCATATTTGTGTCTAATGCTGTGCTGCCAATAATGCTTTGCCAGCCAGATCAAGCTGGGAGGAAATTTCCACCCTATGTGGTAAAATTCAAGTTGCGAAGAAGAAACGTCACACAGAGGTTGCGCAAGATTCCGCAATCGGAGCGACACAGCTCTGGCTGAACCGCTGGACTGGGAAAACCGTTTTAAGGCGCTGCAGTGGCGCGCTATTCTTGCATGTGGTATAACAGCATCGCATGTTTTCAATCTCGTTATTCTGCTTGTCCGAAACGATCGTCGTGCACCCTTTGTCTACACTCTCGTACGGTATTGAAGAGAAAAGCACGGTGGAGCGATCTGAGTGTTGAGCTGAAAGATGAAATATAATATACATAATCGATAATGGAAATACAATATATCTTACTGAAGACTTGAGCAGCACGATGCATTTTCACATGGGGCGTCGTGGGCAAGGCCTAATTCGAGCATTCACGAAAATGACGCAAGCTCAGTCAGTGGCACTAGCACACCAGCTGTTCTGAACACCAAAATATAAACCACCAAAAAAAACACCAAAGCGATCTCATCCAAATATAAAATTACCAAACACTTCTAAGAAATCTTCGAAATACACCACGTCTGGGTGCAATCAGCAAGCAACTTTCTTCTGTTTCATCATATATATTTCCGGTATATACGATGAAAAAGAATACCAGAGTCGGCACATTGTGGTCACCATGGATGCCGGCAGTGAAATCTATTCCGCACCATTGATGGTCCTTTACAAACTGCTGGACGTTTCTAGTGTTCGGATCCGTGCCAGAGCAAAGCAATGTGAACAATGATGTTTGAAGGCCCAATTATAAGATGATGAAAAGAGGATATACAAGTAACGTTGCAAAATACGGTTTTTGCGATTTTTTAGATGGTCGCAATAAAATCTTTAACCTGAGACCAATCTGGCAACATAATACACCGTACCACAAGACCGCACAACCTCCAAACAATGCTACAATGGCATTTCCGTGCTGACAACTGCCAGTAAAGCACGCACATATCAACGTGTTGATCCGGTACAGTAAAAACTCTCGACGTCACTTTTGACCAATGCGGTAGGACACAGCACACATGACTCCGAGTCATACCCAGCATTGTACCTCGTTTCTAGGTTTCACACCAGGACACACCGACCCAGACGCATTATATCGGTCACCGTCCGCTGCTATTGCGAAACAGGCAGGCCGGAACGCAACAGGCCATCTCCCACCGGACCCCAACCGGTGACCGAGTTATGCAACGTTATGCAACTGCCAACGTCGCCCACGAGTGATCGGCCTGACGCAACCCGAGCCTGCTGGTGTACGTTGACGGACCGACAGCCCTACAGGTTACAACATCGTAGAAGCAAGCACGGTTGGCCGCCAGCACCGGCGGGGAGTTTGCTGGGCGAGTGTCCATTGGCTGATCAGCTAGGATGCTGTCAAGCTTGGCGGCTGTGATTGGTCATCGGAGCGTGACGACAATGATTGGAAGTCGTCAGGTGGCGTCTGCATGACGTCTACTCCGTGTATCACCAGGCCTGGGATGGCGTCCTCCAGCAGTAAGCCCATGTAGGGCAGCAACCGGATGTGATCCATCCGCTCCAGCGTCAGCGACTTCAGATTCCTGCGAAAAGTGGCGCGTTAGTGGAAACTGCCGAACGACGGTGACATCCGACCAAAGAGCATCGGGTTATTTGTTGAGAAGGCAAAGCAAACACTCTGTGTAGTTGGCATACATAACCAATGTACTCAGCACAATCTAGACGAGCTAAGACCAACCAAATCAGGCATGTGACGTATCAGATAGTACTACCATTCTGCACGCTGGACATTACGCTTATGCATACACATGCTCACGGTCGAAACAACTGGGTTTTTGCCGACGGTCCTACGTTTTCTCCGACTTCAGACGTATGCACCGAACTGCGAGTGGGGGAAAACAGCACACAGCTGGGTCTCACTTAAGCTGCGCGACGCCCCTCGAGGCCCCGCTCCGAGACGCGCCGGCAGCCGCTGAGGTCGAGGTGCTGCAGCTGCTGTCGGAACTCGCCGCACACCCGGTCCACGCACCAGTCGTCCACGTACGGGCAGTCGCGCAGGTACAGCGCCCGCAGCTTGGACACGCCTTACTGCCGCACACGAGAGCCAAGACGAGTCAAACCGGCGACCCTCCCCAGCCCGACGGACAAACGCCAGCGTGAAGTCGGACGGCCGGTCGTCCGCGAACGAGGTCAGTCGTGTCCGGGCATCCCGCGACGGGGACGTCCGGTTCCATTTTCCCACAACAGGCCGGACTTCGTAAGCAGGACTATGGCGTACACAGGGCGGAAGTGGCGGCAGCGAAAGTGGCACGTAGAATATCAGAAAATGCAACAGCGTCTCTTACCCCACAAGGCGCCTGGCACGCATTGTCTGCGCCCCTCAGGCGCCACAGCGGCTGACAGATCTGAATCGCAAGGAGAAGTCTTCCGATGCTAATACATAGCCGATCTGAACGTCTTCCGATATGTCATAGAGAAAAGCATGGCGCCGCTCTCCAATTGCACTGGACTGCGTGGTCGGCGCCCACCCGCCGGGCGTGACGGGGCTGAGCGGGCCATGCCGACGAAGAGGTTATATATATATATATATCTATATATATATATATATATATATATATATATATATGTATATATATATATATGTATATATATATATATATATATACAATACACATAAATATACAATAAATACTATAATGTGATCTGATAATATTAATAAAACCTCTAGCTGGTATCACTAAGATGGTAGACGGCAGCGCTCACTGAAGTTCTCCAGACCCTCGTAGAGACTCTCCGTGCCACTGGCGTCCAGCTCCTCCACGAACATGCCGTATGTGTACTGGCCTGGGTAACGGGTATCGACTCATCCTCCAGTCTCTTCACCCATTTCTCGTCACCCCTGCCAAGCGGTGGCAGGTAATTAGACGATATCACACAAGTATCTGCAATGAGTGTTCTGGACTATTTATCGCTGTTCATGCTGCTAGAAGTTTCACCTAGATCCTCAAGGCATTAAACATGCAATTATTCTAGTCTATTTCAAGCGAAACGAAGTCAGAGCTTCACATGGCACTCTCTCAGTTCAAGCATGTTTGCTAACATCACCACAGGTGGACAGTGGCAAATCACGGATGAGATTGAAATGCTCTCATTCATTCGTCGCAATGTGTCGCGGCTCGGGTTTTGCATCCCCATGAGATGGGGTATGTGTGATGCGCCCACGTCCTAGTGTTAGGAATTTTACTCGATTGCGATGAAATGAATTGTGTATTTTCATCAAAATAAAGTATTATGGGTTTTCACACGATTGGCTACAACAATTCTGTCATCAGATCTACTGGACAACGATTTTGACCGTAGGTGAACAGTGGACCACCATCCTGTTGAACATACAAATGAACGCCTGTTTTTTTCTTTCATAGCGGGTGACGAGTGCGATAGAATAACTGCACGCCAATCAAACGTTCAATAAAAAACACGCGCTCTTGCGTAAAATTTTTAGAAAACTGCCTTTGCGATCCAAATCGGATGAGTCATGTGTGACGAGACACTGCCAACTTAATTTACATCCAGTAAAAAATGGGAATTGAACGACACCTTTCAAACGTGATGACTGACCTGTTCAAGCCGACTTAAAACCTCAAGCTTATGCACGATGCAACTGATATCGGAAGGGAGCGTTGCCAGACCGTTGCAGCTGTTTGCAGTCGTTGGTCCCAGTGAGCAGCGGCACCGACACATCTCACGCCGCACTGACCTTGAACCGGACGCAGCCGCCGGGCCACGACGAAGTGGGCGGCGGCCAGGTCAAAGCCCAGAATCTGGTGACGATCCTCCAGAAATCTGTAGACCACGGGCCGGCAGTCATAAATCGCCCCGGGCGCTAACTCATGAGCTTCAAGGAAGTCACAAGCCAAGACCAGACCAGCAGAAGACATGGTAATTGCTTGAACTGGGTCCGAAGTGCGTTCATCGCCGCTTACTGCCGTTCCCAAATAGCTACCCATGACGTCACAGATAACCATCATATCAAAACAGATCTCAAAGATGCTACACCTTTTGTCTGCGACGAAACAATCTGGCGTCACCGGCCATTTACTTCGGACGGCATTTGTCTACCAATACCGAACCAGCAAGCCACATTGCAACACTGCATTAGTTACAATGTTTTGCACTCCACGTTAGACGCACCACATTTCTTACTGTTCTCACGCCAAACAAGCAGCCATTTTAATACACGTTAATTGAGCGCAGCTGGGGTAACGACAAAAGGAACTCTCTTCGAGATTGGAGGTCTCGGCGATCTGCAGCGTGAATCTCCTGTGACTGCTCATTCTCTCTAATTAGCTGATGTCAGTATGAGTGACGGCGACATGTCGGTCGCACCAGGGCTTTTTTCCAGTAGTGGGATAAAACTTGGCGTGCTTTTATGTACGCTATATCTACGTTCTCGTCCGATATACTCACTGTATGCTCCAGGTACGGAGTACTCACCTCTGGTCCAGGACACGGTTCTCCCAGATTTTGTTCTCCATGAAGTTGTGGAAGGCCTTCCGGCTCAGTGCATGAGCATTTAGCTCGCGGAAGTATTCCAGTGTTGACGACTTCGCCGGACGCAGCAGTTCGAAAATGCTGTAGTAAATCTTACTATGCCTCTGTTCATCCTCGTCCATAATCCTGTATGCACAACGAGGATGCATTTGCGTAGCAGTGTTTAAGGGTGTCATTTGGACAACAATTTGGGATTTAGGCCACATGCAGGACAAATTAACTGAAACAACTTTCCCACAAGCGCAGTG